CCTAAGCTGGTAAAGTAAGCTTGAGGGGTTTTCATGCAGGTCCCCACATCTGTACCGTAGAGTTCAGAGTGGGGAAGGAACCTTGACACTACTATAATTCAGAATTTAATTCACAGATACAAATGGTGGTTTCTCCTTATTTCTCACCCAAAACTTAAGAGTTCTGTAGTAAGGTTTCATTACTGATTCAGGTTTCAGAGTGGTAGCCACGTTAGTCTGTATCAGCAAAAATGACAAGGAGTCCTTGTGGCACCTTAGAGACTAACACATTTATTTGGGCACAAGCTTTCGTGGGCTAAAACCGAAATTACCGATTCAGTTATTTTTGTAAGATGTGCTATGAATTGTCAGTTTCATTCTATATTATGCTTGTCAAATAGACAAAGTACATTTTGTGGTATTAGTAATTCAGAGTGGGGGTCTCCTATTCAGTATAAACCGTATTAAATTATACCAAATACATATCTTTGGTTAATAAAATTTGACTATGAAGTTTTCTAGTAATCTTATTTATATTTGTATTTAGAAGTCAAATAAAAGTCATAACACCAAAACAAAACTTTGAGAAGACTAGTCAAATACAGTAGTAAGAAGATCAAACTGCAACAGCAATTCAATTTATGACCTAGTGAGATTGCCTGCAGTTAGTAAGTATCTGTGAAAGTACGCTTTTTGGTTTTCAATTCAGGGATTTTAAAACTAGACTTATAGTCAAGGACCCATTGCGCATAGCAATGTTATAGCTGCAGAAATAGTTGAAAAACCAGGATTCTATTGGGAGAAAATATTCCCACTCTACCTACCCCCTCTCAGATTTAATATACTGTATAGGGAATACTAAAGCAATGTATTGTAGAGAGTATTTCTCACTGTACATCATTTGGAATGAAAAGCTTGGGCTGATCCTGAATCCTCTGCCTTTGATGGTTGTGGTAGGATATTCTTGAGCATGATAGACTTTTTGGCATTTGTATTTACTGTAAACTATTAAAGGAATCATACAGTGGTAAAAAGCATTACAGTATTGTGAATATGCTGATGTTGAACTGTCTCCTTTTCCCTGGAACCTAATAGAGCTATTACCCTACTCTCCTGGTACTTGGAAGAACAGGGACCTGGTTGAAAACGTAGCTGGGTTATATTCAGCCCTAATAAGAAAAATGGCATTGGTTAGCAAAGAGAAGTACTTTAAAAAACTGGTTTTCCTAAACACTCTTAGGGTATGTCTACACTACGGAATAAGGTCGAATTTATAGAAGTCGGTTTTTAGAAATCGGTTTTATAAATTCGAGTGTGTGTGTCCCCACAGAAAATGCTCTAAGTGCATTAAGTGCATTAACTCGGCGGAGCGCTTCCACAGTACCGAGGCAAGCGTCGACTTCCGGAGCGTTGCACTGTGGGTAGCTATCCCACAGTTCCCGCAGTCTCCGCTGCCCATTGGAATTCTGGGTTGAGATCCCAATGCCTGATGGGGCTAAAACATGGTCGCGGGTGGTTCTGGGTACATATCGTCAGCCCCCCGTTCCCTCCCTCCCCCCCGTGAAAGCAAGGGCAGACAATCATTTCGCGCCTTTTTTCCTGAGTTACCTGTGCAGACGCCATACCATGGCAAGCATGGAGCCCGCTTAGGTAACCGTCACCCTATGTCTCCTGGGTGCTGGCAGACGCGGTACGGCATTGCTACACAGTAGCAGCAACCCCTTGCCTTGTGGCAGCAGACGGTACAGTACGACTGGTAGCCGTCATCGTCATGTCTGAGGTGCTCCTGGTCGCCTCTGTGAGGTCGATCAGGAGCGCCTGGGCAGACATGGGCACAGGGACTAAATTTGGAGTGACTTGACCAGGTCATTCTCTTTAGTCCTGCAGTCAGTCCTATTGAACCATCTTATGGTGAGCGGGCAGGCGATACGGACTGCTTGCAGTCGTACTGTACCATCTTCTGCCGAGCAGCCATGAGATGTGGATGGCATGCAGTCCTTCTGCACCGTCTGCTGCCAGCCAAAGATGTAAAAGATAGATGGAGTGGATCAAAACAAGAAATAGACCAGATTTGTTTTGTACTCATTTGCTTCCCCCCCTCCCCTGTCTAGGGGACTCATTCTTCTAGATCACACTGCAGTCACTTACAGAGAAGGTGCAGCGAGGTAAATCTAGCCATGTATCAATCAGAGGCCAGGCTAACCTCCTTGTTCCAATAACAACGATAACTTAGGTGCACCATTTCTTATTGGAACCTTCCGTGCAGTCCTGCCTGAAATACTCCTTGATGTAAAGTCACCCCCTTTGTTGATTTTAGCTCCCTGAAGCCAACCCTGTAAGCGCCCCTCCCAGCGTCAGAGCAATGGCAAACAATCGGGCATCTGAGAGTGCTGTCCAGAGCAGTCACAATGGAGCACTCTGATGGGGCTAAAACATTGTCGCGGGTGGTTCTGGGTACGTGTCGTCAGGCCCCCGTTCCCTCCCTCCCTCCGTGAAAGCAAGGGCAGACAATCATTTCGCGCCTTTTTTCCTGAGTTACCTGTGCAGACGCCATACCACAGCAAGCATGGAGCCCGCTCAGGTAACCGTCACCCTATGTCTCCTGGGTGCTGGCAGACGCGGTACGGCTTTGCTGCACAGTAGCAGCAACCCATTGCCTTCTGGCAGCAGACGGTGCAATACGATTGGTAGTCGTGTCCGAGGTGCTCCTGGCCGCGTCGGCTGGGAGTGCCTGGGCAGACATGGTCGCAGGGACTAAATTTGGAGTGACTTGACGAGGTCATTCTCTTTAGTCCTGCAGTCAGTCCTATTGAACCGTCTTATGGTGAGCGGGCAGGCGATACGGACTGCTAGCAGTCGTACTGTACCATCTTCTGCCAGGCAGGCAAGAGATGAGGATTCCTAGCAGTCGTATTGCACCATCTTCTGCCAGGCAGGCAAGAGATGGGGATGGCTAGCAGTCGTACTGTACCATCTTCTGCCGAGCAGCCATGAGATGTGGATGGCATGCAGTCCTTCTGCACCGTCTGCTGCGAGCCAAAGATGTAAAAGATAGATGGAGTGGGTCAAAACAAGAAATAGACCAGATATGTTTTGTACTCATTTGCCGGCTCCCCTGTCTAGGGGACTCATTCCTCTAGGTCACACTGCAGTCACTCACAGAGAAGGTGCAGCGAGGTAAATCTAGCCATGTATCAATCAGAGGCCAGACTAACCTCCTTGTTCCAATAACAACGATAACTTAGGTGCACCATTTCTTATTGGAACCCTCCGTGCAGTCCTGCCTGAAATACTCCTTGATGTACAGGCACCCCCTTTGTTGATTTTAGCTCCCTGAAGCCAACCCTGTAAGCCGTGTCGTCAGTCGCCCCTCCCTCCGTCAGAGCAACGGCAGACAATCGTTCCGCGCCTTTTTTCTGTGCGGACGCCATACCACGGCAAGCATGGAGCCCGCTCAGCTCACTTTGGCAATTAGGAGCACATTAACCACCACACGCATTATTCAGCAGTATATGCAGCACCAGAACATGGCAACGCGATACCGGGCGAGGAGGCGACGTCAGCGCGGTCCCGTGAGTGATCAGGACATGGACACAGATTTCTCTGAAAGCATGGGCCCTGACAATGCATGCATCATGGTGCTAATGGGGCAGGTTCATGCTGTGGAACGCCGATTCTGGGCTCGGGAAACAAGCACAGACTGGTGGGACCGCATAGTGTTGCAGGTCTGGGACGATTCCCAGTGGCTGCGAAACTTTCGCATGCGTAGGGGCACTTTCATGGAACTTTGTGACTTGCTTTCCCCTGCCCTGAAGCGCATGAATACCAAGATGAGGGCAGCCCTCACAGTTGAGAAGCGAGTGGCGATAGCCCTGTGGAAGCTTGCAACGCCAGACAGCTACCGGTCAGTTGGGAATCAATTTGGAGTGGGCAAATCTACTGTGGGGGCTGCTGTGATGCAAGTAGCCCACGCAATCAAAGATCTGCTGCTATCAAGGGTAGTGACCCTGGGAAATGTGCAGGTCATAGTGGATGGCTTTGCTGCAGTGGGATTCCCTAACTGTGGTGGGGCTATAGACGGAACCCATATCCCTATATTGGCACCGGAGCACCAAGCCGCCGAGTACATAAACCGCAAGGGGTACTTTTCGATAGTGCTGCAAGCTCTGGTGGATCCCAAGGGACGTTTCACCAACATCAACGTGGGATGGCCGGGAAAGGTGCATGATGCTCGCATCTTCAGGAACTCTGGTCTGTTTCAAAAGCTGCAGGAAGGGACTTTATTCCCAGACCAGAAAATAACTGTTGGGGATGTTGAAATGCCTATATGTATCCTTGGGGACCCAGCCTACCCCTTAATGCCATGGCTCATGAAGCCGTACACAGGCAGCCTGGACAGTAGTCAGGAGCTGTTCAACTACAGGCTGAGCAAGTGCAGAATGGTGGTAGAATGTGCATTTGGACGTTTAAAGGCGCACTGGCGCAGTTTACTGACTCGCTTAGACCTCAGCGAAACCAATATTCCCACTGTTATTACTGCTTGCTGTGTGCTCCACAATATCTGTGAGAGTAAGGGGGAGACGTTTATGGCGGGGTGGGAGGTTGAGGCAAATCGCCTGGCTGCTGGATACGCGCAGCCAGATACCAGGGCGGTTAGAAGAGCACAGGAGGGCGCGGTACGCATCAGAGAAGCTTTGAAAACCAGTTTCATGACTGGCCAGGCTACGGTGTGAAAGATCTGTTTGTTTCTCCTTGATGAACCCCCCCGCCCCTTGGTTCACTCTACTTCCCTGTAAGCTAACCACCCTCCCCTCCTCCCTTTAATCATTGCTTGCAGAGCCAATAAAGTCATTGCTGCTTCACAGTCATGCATTCGTTATTCATTCATCACACAAATAGGGGGATGACTACCAAGGTATGCCAGGAGGGGTGGTGGAGGAGGGAAGGAAAATGCCACACAGCACTTTAAGCACAGCACTTTAAAAGTTTACAACTTTAAAATTTATTGAATGACAGCCTTCTTTTTTTTGGGCAATCCTCTGTGGTGGAGTGGCTGGTTGGCCGGAGGCCCCCCCACCGCGTTCTTGGGCGTCTGGGTGTGGAGGCTATGGAACTTGGGGAGGAGGGCGGTTGGTTACAGAGGGGCTGCAGTGGCAGTCTGTGCTCCAGCTGCCTTTGCTGCAGCTCAGCCATACACTGGAGCATACTGGTTTGGTCCTGCAGCAGCCTCAGCATTGAATCCTGCCTCCTCTCATCACGCTGCCGCCACCTTTGAGCTTCAGCCCTGTCTTCAGCCCGCCACTTACTCTCTTCAGCCCTCCACCTCTCCTCCCGGTCATTTTGTGCTTTCCTGCACTCTGACATTATTTGCCTCCACGCATTCGTCTGTGCTCTGTCAGTGTGGGAGGACAGCATGAGCTCGGAGAACATTTCATCGCGAGTGCGTTTTTTTTTTCTTTCTAAGCTTCACTAGCCTCTGGGAAGGAGAAGATCCTGTGATCATTGAAACACATGCAGCTGGTGGAGAAAAAAAAAAGGGACAGCGGTATTTAAAAAGACACATTTTATAAAACAGTCGCTACACTCTTTCAGGGTAAACCTTGCTGTTGACATTACATACATAGCACATGTGCTTTCGTTACAAGGTCGCATTTTGCCTCCTCCCACCGCGTGAACGGATTTTGGTTGAATGCCAGCAAACATACACTGCAATGCTTTGTTCTACAGTGATTCCCGAGTACGTGTTACTGGCCTGGAGTGGTAAAGTGTCCTACCATGAAGGACGAAATAAGGCTGCCCTCCCCAGAAACCTTTTGCAAAGGCAGAACCGCAAATGCCAGGGCAAAGTAATCCTTTCACATGCTTGCTTTTAAACCATGTATAGCATTTTAAAAGGTACACTCACCAGAGGTCCCTTCTCCGCCTGCTGAGTCCAGGAGGCAGCCTTGGGTGGGTTCGGGGGGTACTGGCTCCAGGTCTAGGGTGAGAAACAGTTCCTGGCTGTCGGGAAAACCGGTTTCTCCGCTTGCTTGCTGTGAGCTATCTACAACCTCCTCATCATCATCTTCTTCGTCCCCAAAACCTACTTCCGTATTGCCTCCATCTCCATTGAAGGAGTCAAACAACACGGCTGGGGTAGTGGTGGCTGAACCCCCTAAAATGGCATGCAGCTCATCATAGAAGCGGCATGTTTGGGGCTCTGACCCAGAGCGGCTGTTCGCCTCTCTGGTTTTCTGGTAGGCTTGCCTCAGCTCCTTCAGTTTCACGCGGCACTGTTTCGGGTCCCTGTTATGGCCTCTGTCCTTCATGCCCTGGGAGATTTTCAGAAAGGTTTTGGCATTTCGAAAACTGGAACGGAGTTCTGATAGCACGGATTCCTCTCCCCAAACAGCGATCAGATCCCGTACCTCCCGTTCGGTCCATGCTGGAGCTCTTTTGCGATTGTGGGACTCCATCATGGTCACCTGTGCTGATGAGCTCTGCATGGTCACCTGCAGCTTGCCACGCTGGCCAAACAGGAAATGAGATTCAAAAATTCGCGGTTCTTTTCCTGTCTACCTGGCCAGTGCATCTGAGTTGAGAGTGCTGTCCAGAGCGGTCATAATGGAGCACTCTGGGATAGCTCCCGGAGGCCAATACCATCGAATTGTGTCCACAGTACCCCAAATTCGAGCCGGCAACGTCGATTTAAGCGCTAATCCACTTGTCAGGGGTGGAGTAAGGAAATCGATTTTAAGAGCCCTTTAAGTCGAAATAAAGGGCTTCATTGTGTGGACGGGTGCAGGTTTAAATCGATTTAACGCTGCTAAATTCGACCTAAAGTCCTAGTGTAGACCAGGGCTTATGGTGTCAGTTGCCAGGCATAACACCTGTCATTTCTAGCCTAGTGAATACTCCTCTCAGGGTATGTCTACACTACGAAATTAGGTCGATATTATAGAAGTCAATTTTTAGAAATCGATTTTATACAGTCGATTGCGTATGTCCACACTAAGCGCATTAAGTTGGCGGCGTGCAATCCTCACTACCGTGGCTAGCGTCAGTTTTTGGAGTGTTGCACTCTGGGTAGCTATCGCACCATTCCCGCAGTCTCCACTGCCAACTGGAATTCTGGGTTGAGCTCCCAATGCCTGATGGGGCAAAAACATTGTCGTGAGTGGTTTTGCATACATGTCGTCAGTCGCCCCTCCCTCTGTGAAAGCAACAGCAGATAATTGTTTCGCTCCTTTTTTCCATGCAATTGCCATACTGCCATCAGCAGACAGTGTACTAGGACTGCTAACCGTCGTCGTCATCCACTGCTTCCGCTGCAACTCTGCTCTCCTGGTGCCATGATTCTACCTCACAGGTCCTCTCATCATTCTGTATAAATATCTATTCTCGTGACATCTGTCGTCATCCACCGCTTCCGTTGCAACTGTGCTCTTCTGCAGACGCCATACCACAGCAAGCATGGAGCCCGCTCAGCTCACTGCTGCTGTTGTGAGCATTGCAAACACCTCACGCATTATCCTGCAGCATGTGCAGAACCTGCAAAAGCAGGCGAGAAGGCGACGACAGCGCGATCACGATAGTGATGAGGACATGGACACAGACTTCTCTCAAAGCACGGGCCCTGGCAATTTGGACATCCTGGTGGTAATGGGGCAGGTTCATGCCGTGGAACACTGATTCTGGGCTCGGGAAACAAGCACAGACTGGTGGGACCGCATAGTGTTGCAGGTCTGGGATGATTCCCAGTGGCTGCAAAACTTTCTCATGTGTAAGGGCACTTTCATGGAACTTTGTGACTTGCTTTCCCCTGCCGTGAAGCACAAGAATACCAAGATGAGAGTAGCCCTCACAGTTCACAAGTGAGTGGCGATAGCCCTCTGGAAGCTTGCAATGCCAGACAGCTACCGGTCAGTCGGGAATCAATTTGGAGTGGGTAAATCTACTGTGGGGGCTGCTGTGATCCAAGTAGCCAAAGCAATCACTGAGCTGCTGCTATCAAGGTTAGTGACTCTGGGAAATGTGCAGGTCATAGTGGATGGCTTTGCTGCCATGGAGTTCCCTAACTGTGGTGGGGCGATAGAAAGAATGCATATCCCTGTCTTGGGACCAGCCCACCTTGGCAGCCAGTACGTAAACCGCAAGGGGTACTTTTCAATTGTGCTGCAAGCACTGGTGGATCACAAGGGACGTCAACGTGGGATGGCCGGGAAAGATGGCATGACACTCGCATCTTCAGGAACTCTGGTCTGTTTGAACAGCTGCAGGAAGGAACTTACTTCCCAGACCAGAAAATAATTGTTGGGGATACTGAAATGCCTATAGTTATCCTTGGGGACCCAGCCTACCCCTTAATGTCATGGCTCATGAAGCCGTACACAGGCAGCCTGGACAGTAGTCAGGAGCTGTTCAACTATAGGCTGAGCAAGTGCAGAATGACGGTAAAATGTGCTTTGGACATTTAAAAGCTCGCTGGCGCAGTTTACTGACTAGAGTAGACCTCAGCAAAACCAATATTCCCATTGTTATTGGTGCTTGCTGTGTGCTCCAAAATATCTGAGAGTAAGGGGGAGAAGTTTACGGCTGGGTGGGAGATTGAGGCAAATCTGCCGGCGGCCGTTTACACACATTCAGACATCGGGGCGATTAGAAGAGCACAGCTGGACACCCTGCACATCAGAGAAGCTTTGAAAACCAGTTTCATGACTGGCCAGGCTATGGTGTGACAGTTCTGTTTGTTTCTCCTTGATGAAAGCCCGCCCCCGTGGTTGACTCTACTTCACTGTAAGCCAACTGATCTCCCCCCTTCAATCACCACTTTAAGAGTCATCATTGTTCACTTCACTTTCACCACTTTCAATGTCATTATTGTTTCAAAATCATGCATTCTTTATTAATTCATCACACAAATAGGGGAAAAACTCGCAAGGTAGCCTGGGAGGGGTAGGTGAGGAGGGAAGCACTGGGTGGGATTGTGGCTGAGGGGAGGCGGGAAGGACAAGGCCACACTACAGTTCAAAACTTATTGGATGCCAGCCTTCTGTTGCTTGGGCAATCCTCTAGGGTGGAGTGGCTGGGTGCCCGTAGCCTTCCCCTCCCCCCGCACCAGCTTGCATTCTTGGGCATCTTTGGTGAGGAGGATATGGAACTTGGGGAGGAGGTCAGGTGGTTATACAGGGGCTGCAGCTTTTCCTGCGGCTCCACCAGATGCCTGAGCATGTCAGTTTGCTCCCCTATTAGACTAAGCATTACATCCTGCCTCCTTTCATCGCGCTCCTCCCTCCTCTCAACGCGTTCATTTAACGCTTTCCTGGCCTCTGCCGTTGTTTGCCTCCACGCATTCTGCTGAGCTCTTTCAATGCGGGAGGACTGCATGAGCTCTGAGAACATGTCATCGTGAGTGTGTTTTTTTTGCCTTCTAATCTGCGCTAGCCTCTGGGACAGAGATGATAGGGGGAGCATAGAAACATTTTCAGCTGCGGGAGATAAAAAGGGAGAGTAGTATTGAAAAAGATACATTTTAGAGAACAAAGGAAAGACTATTTCACACTGAATCAAGTGATTCACATTACATAGCACATGCTTTTGGTACAAGGTTGCATTTTGCCTCTTATATTGAGTGCCTGCCGGTTTGGTGTGAGACATCACACACTTTCGGCTTGCAGGCAGCCATGGTAAGGCAAAGGGTTTCGGCTTCTTCAACCTTCATAACATGTGGGAATGGTTTCAAACAGCAGCGTCCTCCTTTCCCATACCAAGCAAAGCCTGTTGGGTTGGCCATTTATAAGGAGGGGCTATGGTTTTAGGGTGAATGTGGAGCACAACCCAACCCCCACCCCAATTCTCTGGGATGATCGCTTCACCTCCCCCCCCCCCCCTCACACACACTGCGCGGCTAGTATCAGGGAAGATCACTGTCAGCCAAACATGAACAGCTCAGCATGAACTGGCCTCCCCCCACCGCGTGGCTAACAACGGAGATGATTTCAGCCAAAGGCAAACAGTCCAGCAGGAACGGGCACCTCTGAATGTCCCCTTAAACAAATTTCCCATATTTCAATCAGGTGACCATGAATGATATCACTCTCCTGACGCTAACACAGACAGTACCTCCAGGAGAGCTTCATGGAGATATCCCTGGATGATTTCTGCTCCATCCCAGACTTAACAGACTTTTCCAGTAGCTATACTGGCTGTGAATGCATCCCAAGTCTTCAGGGCAAATTAATCATTAAACATCACTTGCTTTTAAACCCTGTATTATGTTTACAAAGGTACACTCACCTGAGGTGCCTTCTCTGGCTTCATGGTCCGGGAGCCCACCTTGGGAGGGTATTGGCTCCAGGGTGATGAACAGTTCCTGGCTGCTGGAGACAAGGGATTCTCCGCTTGCCTGCTGTGCGCTATCCTCAACCTTTTCCTCCTCATCTTCCTCATCCACAAAATCCTCATCCCTGTTGCATGAGACTCCCCCCTTGCAGGTGTCCACGAACAGTGGTGGGGAAGTGGTAGGGGTTCCCCCTAGAATTGCATGCAGCTCATCATAGAAGCGGCATGTAAGGGGTTCTGACCTGGAGCAACCGTTCGCATCCTTTGTTTTTTGGTAGGCTTGCCTCAGCTCCTTAACTTTCATGCAGCATTGCTGTGTGTCCCTGTTGTAGCTTCTATCCATCATGCCCTTGGAGATTTTGGCAAATATATTGGCGTTTTGTCTTTTGGAACGAAGTTCTGCCTGCACGGATTCTTCTCCCCATACAGCGATCAGATCCAGTACCTCCTGTTCAGTCCATGCTGGAGCTCTTTTGCGATTCTGGGACTCCATGGTCACCTGTGCTGATCAGCTCGCCATACTGGCCAAACAGGAAATGAAATTCAAAAGTTCCCCGGGGCTTTTCCTGTCTACCTGGCCAGTGCAACTGACTTGAGAGTGCTGTCCAGAGCAGTCACAATGGAGCACTCTGGGATAGCTCCCGGAGGCCAATACTGTCGAATTGCGTCCATGCTACCCCGTATTCGACCCAGGGAGGTCGATTTTAGCACTACTCCCCTTGCCGAGGAGGAGTACAGAAATCGATTTTAGGAGCCCTTTAAGTCGACAAAACAGGCTTGGTCATGTGGACGGGTGAAGGGTTAAATCAACCTAACGCTGCTAAATTTGACCTAAACTCATCGTGTAAACCAGGCTCAGATGCAGATCTTGTCATATCTCAGTCACTTGAGGGCCAACACATACCACCCCTTTCAGGTGGGGTAAACTAGCAAGAATCTTAGGGTATGTCTACACTACGGAATAAGGTCGAATTTATAGAAGTCGTTTTTTTAGAAATCGGTTTTATATATTCGAATGTATGTGTCCCCACAGAAAATGCTCTAAGTGCATTAAGTGCATTAACTCGGCGGAGTGCTTCCACAGTACCGAGGCTAAAGTCGACTTCCGGAGCGTTGCACTGTGGGTAGCTATCCCACAGTTCCCGCAGTCTCCGCTGCCCATTGGAATTCTGGGTTGAGATCCCAATGCCTGATGGGGCTAAAACATTGTCGCGGGTGGTTCTGGGTACATATCGTCAGGCCCCCGTTCCCTCCCTCCCTCCGTGAAAGCAAGGGCAGACAATCATTTCGCGCCTTTTTTCCTGAGTTACCTGTGCAGACGCCATACTACAGCAAGCATGGAGCCCGCTCAGGTAACCGTCACCCTATGTCTCCTGGGTGCTGGCAGACGCGGTACGGCATTGCTACACAGTAGCAGCAACCCCTTGCCTTGTGGCAGCAGACAGTACAGTACGACTGGTAGCCGTCATTGTCATGTCCGAGGTGCTCTTGGCCACGTCGGCTGGGAGTGCCTGGACAGACATGGGCGCAGGGACTAAATTTGGAGTGACTTGACCAGGTCATTCTCTTTAGTCCTGCACTCAGTCCTGTTGAACCGTCTTATGGTGAGAGGCAGGCGATACGGATTGCTAGCAGTCGTACTGTACCATCTTCTGCCAGGCAGGCAAGAGATGAGGATGGCTAGCAGTCGTACTGTACCATTTTCTGCCGAGCAGCCATGAGATGTGGATGGCATGCAGTCCTTCTGCACCGTCTGCTGCCTGCCAAATATGTAAAAGATAGATGGAGTGGATCAAAACAAGAAATAGACCAGATTTGTTTTGTACTCATTTGCCGGCTCCCCTGTCTAGGGGACTCATTCCTCTAGGTCACACTGCAGTCACTCACAGAGAAGGTGCAACGAGGTAAATCTAGCCATGTATCAATCAGAGGCCAGGCTAACCTCCTTGTTCCAATAAGAACAATAACTTAGGTGCACCATTTCTTATTGGAACCCTCCGTGAAGTCCTGCCTGAAATACTCCTTGATGTACAGGCACCCCCTTTGTTGATTTTAGCTCCCTGAAGCCAACCCTGTAAGCCGTGTCGTCAGTCGCCCCTCCCTCCGTCAGAGCAACGGCAGACAATCGTTCCGCGCCTTTTTTCTGTGCGGACGCCATACCACGGCAAGCATGGAGGCCGCTCAGCTCACTTTGGCAATTAGGAGCACATTAAACACCACACGCATTATCCAGCAGTATATGCAGCACCAGAACCTGGCAAAGCGATACCAAGTGAGGAGGCGACGTCAGCGCGGTCACGTGAGTGATCAGGACATGGACACAGATTTCTTTGAAAGCATGGGCCCTGCCAATGCATGCATCATGGTGCTAATGGGGCAGGTTCATGCTGTGGAACGCCAATTCTGGGCTCGGGAAACAAGCACAGACTGGTGGGACCGCATAGTGTTGCAGGTCTGGGATGATTCCCAGTGGCTGCGAAACTTTCGCATGCGTAAGGGCACTTTCATAGAACTTTGTGACTTGCTTTCCCCTGCCCTGAGGCTCATGAATACCAAGATGAGAGCAGCCCTCACAGTTGAGAAGCGAGTGGCGATAGCCCTGTGGAAGCTTGCAACGCCAGACAGCTACCGGTCAGTTGGGAATCAATTTGGAGTGGGCAAATCTATTGTTGGGGCTGCTGTGATGCAAGTAGCCCACGCAATCAAAGATCTGCTGCTATCAAGGGTAGTGACCCTGGGAAATGTGCAGGTCATAGTGGATGGCTTTGCTGCAATGGGATTCCCTAACTGTGGTGGGGCCATAGACGAAACCCATATCCCTATCTTGGCACCAGAGCACCAAGCCGCTGCGTACATAAACCGCAAGGGGTACTTTTCGATAGTGCTGCAAGCTCTGGTGGATCACAAGGGACGTTTCACCAACATCAACGTGGGATGGCCGGGAAAGGTGCATGATGCTCGCATCTTCAGGAACTCTGGTCTGTTTCAAAAGCTGCAGGAAGGGACTTTATTCCCAGACCAGAAAATAACTGTTGGGGATGTTGAAATGCCTATATGTATCCTTGGGGACCCAGCCTACCCCTTAATGCCATGGCTCATGAAGCCGTACACAGGCAGCCTGGACAGTAGTCAGGAGCTGTTCAACTACAGGCTGAGCAAGTGCAGAATGGTGGTAGAATGTGCATTTGGACGTTTAAAGGCGCACTGGCGCAGTTTACTGACTCGCTTAGACCTCAGCGAAACCAATATTCCCACTGTTATTACTGCTTGCTGTGTGCTCCACAATATCTGTGAGAGTAAGGGGGAGACGTTTATGGCGGGGTGGGAGGTTGAGGCAAATCGCCTGGCTGCTGGTTACGCGCAGCCAGATACCAGGGCGGTTAGAAGAGCACAGGAGGGCGCGGTACGCATCAGAGAAGCTTTGAAAACCAGTTTCATGACTGGCCAGGCTACGGTGTGAACGTTCTGTTTGTTTCTCCTTGATGAAACCCCCGCCCCTTGGTTCACTCTACTTCCCTGTAAGCTAACCACCCGCCCCTCCTCCCTTCAATCACCGCTTGCAGGGGCAATAAAGTCATTGTTGCTTCACATTCATGCATTCTTTATTCATTCATCACACAAATAGGGGGATGACTACCAAGGTAGCCCAGGAGGGGTGGTGGAGGAGGGAAGGAAAATGCCACACAGCACTTTAAAAGTTTACAACTGTAAAATTTATTGAATGACAGCCTTCTTTTTTTGGGGGCAATCCTCTGTGGTGGAGTGGCTGGTTGGCCGGAGGCCCCCCCACCGCGTTCTTGGGCGTTTGGGTGTGGAGGATATGGAACTTGGGGAGGAGGGCGGTTGGTTACAGAGGGGCTGCAGTGGCAGTCTGTGCTCCAGCTGCCTTTGCTGCAGCTCAATCATGCACTGGAGCATACTGGTTTGGTCCTCCAGCAGCCTCAGCATTGAATCCTGCCTCCTCTCATCACGCTGCCGCCACATTTGAGCTTCAGCCCTCTCTTCAGCCCGTCACTCTCTTCAGCCCTCCACCTCTCCTCCCGGTCATTTTGTGCTTTTCTGCACTCTGACATTATTTGCCTCCATGCATTCGTCTGTGCTCTGTCAGTGTGGGAGGACAGCATGAGCTCGGAGAACATTTCATCGCGAGTGCGTTTTTTGGTTTTTGTTTTTCTTTCTAAGCTTCACTAGCCTCGGGGAAGGAGAAGATCCTGTGATCATTGAAACATGTGCAGCTGGTGGAGGAAAAAAAAGGGACAGCGGTATTTAAAAAGACACATTTTATAAAACAGTGGCTACACTCTTTCATGGTAAACCTTGCTGTTAACATTACATACATAGCAATGTGCTTTCGTTACAAGGTCGCATTTTGCCTCCCCCCACCGTGTGGCTACCCCCTCAACCTTCCCCCCTCCCTGTGGCTAACAGCGGGGAACATTTCTGTTTAGCCACAGGCAAACAGCCCAGCAGGAATGGGCTCCTCTGAGTGTCCCCTGAAGAAAAGCACTCTATTTCAACCAGGTGACCATGAATTATATCTCACTTTCCTGAGGATAACACAGAGAGATAAAGAACGGATGTTGTTTGAATGCCAGCATTCTCTGCTTGCTTGCTGTGAGCTATCTACAACCTCCTCATCATCATCTTCTTCGTCCCCAAAACCTGCTTCCGTATTGCCTCCATCTCCATTGAAGGAGTCAAACAACACGGCTGGGGTAGTGGTGGCTGAACCCCCTAAAATGGCATGCAGCTCATCATAGAAGCGGCATGTTTGGGGCTCTGACCCAGAGCGGCCGTTCGCCTCTCTGGTTTTCTGGTAGGCTTGCCTCAGCTCCTTCAGTTTCACGCGGCACTGCTTCGGGTCCCTGTTATGGCCTCTGTCCTTCATGCCCTGGGAGATTTTGACAAAGGTTTTGGCATTTCGAAAACGAACGGAGTTCTGATAGCACGGATTCCTCTCCCCAAACAGCGATCAGATCCCATACCTCCCGTTCGGTCCATGCTGGAGCTCTTTTGCGATTCTGGGACTCCATCATGGTCACCTCTGCTGATGAGTTCTGCATGGTCACCTGCAGCTTGCCACGCTGGCCAAACAGGAAATGAGATTCAAAAGTTGGCGGTTCTTTTCCTGTCTACCTGGCCAGTGCATCTGAGTTGAGAGTGCTGTCCAGAGCGGTCACAATGGAGCACTCTGGGATAGCTCCCGGAGGCCAATACCATCGAATTGTGTCCACAGTACCCCAAATTCGAGCCGGCAAGGCCGATTTAAGCGCTAAACCACTTGTCGGGGTGGAATAAGGAAATCGATTTTAAGAGCCCTTTAAGTCGAAATAAAGGGCTTCATCGTGTGGACGGGTGCAGGTTTACATCAATTTAATGCTGCTAAATTCGACCTAAAATCCTAGTGTAGACCAGGGCTTAGTGTTTCATACTCTTCACAATCTGCTAATTCACTTTTGGGCAAAATAAATGGCCTATGTTCTCGGCATCTTAGACAAACTACTTGGAGGGGAATACTTAGGCTAGATACCTCATGATGAAGCGTGGAAAGAATTGGGGACAAAGCATTGTGTGTCAGGTGCTCACCTCTGAAATCTGATCCTGTCATAACTACACTTACTACCTTAAGGGTGCAATAAGCCATTTTTATCCAATCAGTCCTTAATGGAATATGCTGAATAGCCACACTGTTTAATCTTTTTGAGGCAATTTGCCGCAAAGGGTCCTGCTTCTGAATTGTGTGCTGCTGGTTTTTCTCTTTCAGCAGTTAAGTGTATTTAGATACTATAGTGATGGGCAAGAGGGATAGGGAACTAAAATTGAGTTTGCAGTTAGAATAGCTACATGGCATATGCAAAATATTTTCCTAGTGGAACAATTATAACTTTAGTGAAAAACACCATTCAGTGTCAAAAGGCTCATATCACATTGAAATAAATCTATATTCACTTGACCAATAAAAAGCACTTATTGAGGATGAACTTCTGTAGCAAACTTCAGTTTTCTGCACTGTTGAGTGTAGATCCATTTTAAAGTTTTAGAGGAAAAATATGTACTTTTCACTCTAATTTTAGGCATTACTGTTTACCCAAATTTAAAAAAAAAAAAAAAAAAAGTGCCTTGAGGCAGTGACCAAGTTGAGAAAATTTTAGCTTCATTAGATGAGTTGCAGAAATCGGTGTGACTGAACATGGATTTGAAATTAACCGTTGGCTGCTACCAATCTAATAATTTACTAAAATTTCATTAAATTACCATGTGCTAGCCAGTCATTGCGGGGTATCAAAGCTTTAGTGTTTGTATTGCCTGTGTGATGTCATATATGGAATCAAACTATTGACATGAATCAGGTAAAATGGGTAGGTTGATGAGAGGACATATATTTGTGTAAACAGATTCTGTCTCCATTGAAGAATCTTTTTCGGAAACGGGTTAAAAAAATGATGGAGATTTGTTTAAAATGTAACATGTTTAAGTCTTTATGACATGGTGTTCTGCATTTTCTTGCAGCAGGAATTATTTGCTTTCTTTATACAGTTCTACCAATTCTATTTAAACTAAGCAGCATCAGTTTTGTAACTTATCTAAGTCTTTGGGTTTGACTAAGGATTCAGTGGTATTGAGAATTACAGAATTTACATTTGGAATAGTAGTATGTACAGTTCTTATGATTTTTCAGCTTAGTAAGTTCCTGATCAAAAGTCAGTGCACCGGAAAGGTAAATGCTGCTGAAGAAAGTGCCAGAACCACTTCTTGGCAAAATTAGAGTGAGAATAGCAGACACTACTGAAGAAATGACATTGCAGAACCGCTAAGATGACCTGCTCAAAAGAGGAATGCGGTCAAAAGCAACCCTGGAATGGCTTTGTCTTAAAACCTACTTAATTGTGATGGTATTATTGCTTGTTAGATTCTGTCAAGGCTCAGGTACTTAAGGCCAAGCTACATAGGCAAACCAAGATCTAAGAGAAATATTAAGCTAAGATGTTAATACTGTTAAAATATGAAAGTCTAAGTACTGTTCAGTCTTTTTGGTTGCTGTTCTGGTCCTTTCATGTACATAAGGATATGAAGCCTGATGTAGCAGAGTCTCAGGTCTTGAAGGTTAGACTTTGCTTTGTTAGATTGGGATCTTGCATTCAAGATTTCAGTTGGTCAGACAAATATGAAGTAAGATAAGAAGTAGTACTTTCTGATCAGTGTAGATTGCTTTAAATCACTGCTTTTAATCTGTTTGCATCATGAAGCAGGAAACCTTTATTTAAATCTGTTTTAATCTTGTTTTGTATTTGCACTTATTTTCCAAAAGAGAAGTTGATTCTCACTGGCTAGTAACCATTACATGTTGACTTGCAACTAAATGTAGCCTTTATACTAAATTTGGTGCTTCTCTTTGCTAACCAGGAGCATAACTGTATACACATTCATTTAAGTAGTTGTATACCTTAACATATGTATTCAGATTCTTAACTTTTATTTTATTATGTTAGAAAATGGTGAATGATGCATTACTTATTTACTAGATTGACATTTTACCTTTGATTTGTCGAGTTCTATTTGGAAAAATGCACAAAAAACGCATTCTAAATTTTTTTATTAGTTAAATAAAACTAGCTTAAGTGTGCTGGATACATAACAACAGAGTTTATCTCAACATGTTTTGCATTTAAAACAAACTGATTTATTAAACAAAGGAAGTGTTGTTGTCTCTAGTTATTGATTTCATTCTGGTCACCATGGCCTTCAAGATTGTAGAACTAAGAAGTGTCATTCTCTCTTACTTTTAGTTTTTATTCATAGATGGAAGGGGGAAACAAGCTGTCCTGCTTTGCTTTTTCAACTCACAATCAGTTTCTTAGCTTTAAATGAACTAGTTATTGAACTGAACTAGTTGAATGAACTGAAATGAGAAAATAGTCTCTTTGCACCTGCAGAAGAGGTTACTGCTGTTAGAAGCTGGATTTAGCACTTCAACAAATTCTGGTTTCTAGTGCTTAGCCAGTGACTTCTACCAGTGTAGTGATTTGACTTTCAAAGATGCTGCTTTTTTTTTTTAATTTAATTTAAATGATTTTTAGATTATAGTAAATGAAGGCTTTGACATAAGTTATCGTACTTTTAAATAGGTTTATTGTATTTATTTTTTTAAATAAAGGAATCGGAAGTTTTAAAGAAAATTAACATTTATTTTTAGCCACCCTGTTTTGAAAACATAAAATCCAAATTATGAACCCTTTATAGATTAATTCAAACACCTTGAATTGCACCAGGATACTAATTAGAAGCCAGTAATCTATTGTGAACAGGTAAAATATGCTCCATGTTTGTAGGTATCTGAATGAAGACAATCTTCATTTGATAGATTATTTTTCAGCCACAGTGTTTCTACTGCTCAGAACTGCAAGATATTTTTAATTTGTGGGGAGTTGTCCCCAACATCGATAGGGGTCTTGCCTCATCTACCATGCAAGTGTGGCTGCTGCCTCAGACTCCCTCACTGGCTGGATAGTTTATTCCTCTGCGTAAATGAAAACTCCACTCCTACCAGGGTAAATGAAAAAACAAATTCCAAACCTTTACACATGCTCTTTGGACACCTTGAAGTTGATGTCCCTTACAACCTTCAACTCTTCGCCTTTTGTCACGGAGGAATGGAAAAGATCTTCTCACTCTCTGCCAGAAATTCCAGGGTTCTTCACCCTCCCTAGGATCCTGCAACAAACAGTTTTACATGGTCCCAATGTGTATTTCCCTTGGGTAGTCATTCAGCTTTAATTGCAGCTCCACCAACAGTTGCTGCAGGTGAACTGTGGCATAGACATGGACCTGGATCTGCCCTATAAGGGACATTCTAGTCTCCTTCAAGTTCACTACATAAGAGTTCAAAAACTCTTGATGCGATTGGTGAGATTTAAAATCCATTACCTGTCACCTTAATTTCTTGACTTTCTGTTTGATCTATTTCTGGTCCTATGTTGTTGCAAATCCTAGTTATCTGCGTATAATGTGCCCAGCTTCAAATTTGAACTTCATGCTTTTTGTGCATTTTGGAAGTTGGTCATAAGGAAACGTATGATAAACTTTAGCCTAAAAGATAAACCTATTGAAAATGTGTGAATAGCTAAATGAAAGTGCTATTTTAATCATTACTATGTGCTTAATATAACTTCAAAAATTATTTTGGACCAAAGCAGAGGGTGTAGAAATTGCTATGTTTGGAATTTCTGTGGGGGCATATACCTTTTTTCTCTTGCCGCTGCCACCACTGACTGCCCTTTCACATCTTACCCACTGGATCACTCTCCTGAATCATAGTTACCAGTTTGTATTCAGATAACTGGCTAATTTAGAGAAGATTGTGTGTGGTAGAATTAGCATTTATTTATCTCTTGTAAATGGGGGAATAAAATTAATTTCCTATCCTGTAGTTAGATCAAAGCAAACTTCATTCAGTATCATTTCATTCTTATGTACACATTCTTATCAATCATCCTTGTTAATGAAAGCTTAATGGTAAGAACTGATATAAAATTCAAACCACACTGCAACACTTGTGCTCTATATTCAGATACATAACTTAATACAGTGAACAGATTGCAAATGTCTAAGTGTTTTTAATGAATTTGTCTGATTTTTTTTGTTGTTAAGTTTGTATCTAATACTACTATTTTTTTTTTCCTTTTTCTTTAGTGATTCTCCTTTGCCTGTTTCATCACGGGTCTGTTTTGTAAAGTTCCATGATCCTGACTCGGCAGTTGTGGCCCAGCATCTGACAAACACTGTGTTCGTTGACAGAGCGTTGATAGTCGTACCATATGCAGAAGGTTTGTGAATTGTTTAATGACCTATGAAGTCGTCATAAGATGGCAGTCTACCCCAGTATAGTTCAGTAGAGTGAGGTTTAGTAACCTGTAAAATATCTAAGATATTAACGTTTTGAAACCCTTGGTACGCTGTCATTAGGTCTTTCATTAAAGCAAATTTTTGTTTTTCTGTTGGCACTCGATGAAAGCTGGAAGTTTTCCTGTTAATTTTTTATATAAGAAAATCTTACATTTAAGGTGCGAATGTTTTTAAGCAGAATTATATGAAAATTATGCTCTTAATGCATCAAAGTCCCTAAGACATGTTTCTAACCAGACTTAAAAATGCTGACTTGTATGCATAAGAAACATTGCCTTAAAGATGAATTATTCAGGATATGTATTTTTATATAATTTCCTCATGCAAGTTTTTTCTCCCTCTTTGAGAGTGAATGGGGGAGTGGATTAGCAGTTATTTTGCAGTGTCCTTGCTACTTCGTTTAGTTGACAACTTCTCTGAAAAAACATTCACCCTCCCTGTAAATTCCAGTATACCAAGGGTTTGAATGATTATGCTTTAAGATGAAAGTGAGATCTTCCAAGAGGTGCCAAATGGGCACTGGGTATTAGATTTTATTCCAAATTTTCTTGTTCAGGCTTGCTATATTTTATAGAATTTCACTGAATAATAAACTCTTCTCTCTGTTATTTGTGTGTGTGATTTTTGTAGTGGAGAAGGCAAATGCAAAGCCCTTCCAGATGACTGAAACACAGTGGGTCCTCTGCAGCTACAGGGGATTCTAGACATTAACTAAAGGCCAGCAAGCACTCAAGTCCCCAAGTGTTTTCCTGGTGTAACCACTTGTTAACTACATTATCTCTTCTTCTTCTTCCTTTTTTTTTTTTTTTTTTTTTTTTTAACATTATAGGGTGTTACAGTAATTTAAAAGACAGTGAGCAGGTTTTTTGGAACTTGTTTTAAAACAATGTGTTGAGAAGACAACACTTCTTACAGAAGTCTCATTAAACTTTACTAGGCTTTAGAAGTAATTTATTTAAAATATACTGATTATTGGTTTATTCTTAAATTTTTTTACTTAAAATCCTTTTGAAATAGAGTAAAATCTCTGCGGATTAAGTCGTATTACAGTAACAAATTTAAGATAAGGCCTGTGTTGTTCTGACTTTTGACAAGGCAGTTTAATTCTATCAGCTGTCTTCCATGGCTGGTGAGCAGTTATAGGTTCTTATTAAAAGAAAAATTTTAAAAGAAATTAAACATTTAAGACT